TTTCTCTGTCTTTGTTTCCCAACTCCAACAAAGGTAGCATCCATTTTTAGTCGAATGAGATTTGAGGATTATTTGCCATTCATTAAAATGAGTGTAATAATTTTGTGGAATTTTCTTGTTTTGATCAAGTGTAAAAATAAGATGATAAAATGCACTGTATTAGAATACACCATGTCAGGCTCTTTCTTTTCAGAGAAGTGTATTTCTCTTTAAAATCAGTAATGTATCGATGTTATAAATTAAAACAAGAGTATTTTTAAAGTTCTTCAGTACTTAGTTGTATCAGTTTTTGCCGTAGTATTGTGGGATGTTTTAAATGTAAAAATTGGTGACTCATGCTTAGTGGTTACTAATGTCTTTTATATAGACTCTTTCTGTAATTACAAGAACATAGGCAGTTGTACTCATTCTGCTTTAAAGTTTGTGAGATGTTTTTGTTAATATTTTTCTGTACAGATCTCCAGCACCATGACTTTCAATTGTTTGTTGATACTGCATAGTTGATAGCCTTTGAAATATGTTTTGGTCTAGTGTCTGTATGATGGCAGGCCGGTGTGATGGTCTCTAATAGGTGATCCACAAAAAGGACGCCAACATAAGATTCATCACCAATATGAACAGATTTAGACTCTATTGGACAGAACTGTTAAAACTCTTAGTAGAGAATAGATGTGAAAAAGGTTAGAAGAAAAGGATATGCAAAAAATTGTGCTGAATGTTTTGTTTGTTTGCTTCAACTAATGAAATTCTGTTGAGTCCTACTAAAAATGCACATGGTTTGGTCAAGGGAGACTTTACAATTTTTATCTCCCCATGCCAGCCTTTCTGAATTTGTGCCTGAACCTGAAATAAAAGTTCTGTGGTGAGGCCAGATCTCCTACGGAGCTAATTTAGGTTTGAGTACCCTTTGCAAGGGATTATTATTTCTTAAGCTTCTAATAATGTGGCAGTCTAAGCAAAGTTGCTTTCCTTCTGAATGCTGACACATTAAGACTTGATGCTTCTTGCCCAGGAGAAAACAACAAAATTCCCACCATCTTCTCAGAAAGGAAGTTTGGATCAGCAGTTTGCTTGACAGGTCAACAAAGACTCCCTGTTAAAACTTTCCAGAAAGAAATACCAGGAAGTATAAGAAAGAAATAAGGATTTTGACATAGCAGGAGAAATGCTACTAAGACATCACAAAACTATTTAATTTAGGAACTTGTTTCTGGAAAGCCTGTGTATACCCACTCAGTTTATTGGTTCCTACTGTTAATGCAGACTCTTTTTTACTCTTTTTTTTTTCTCTAAATATTCTTCTAGCTGAACCATGTACTGTTGTTTAGCAACTTCTGTTTTGTTAAATTCTCTCAAATAATAAAGTCAGGTCAGTTACATAAGGAAAAGGAAACTATCTTTGTTGCTTTTGGTTGTGGAAAAGTCCAGAGAAAAATTATATTTGTCATAAACATGATAATTTAAATATGCTGTCAATGTTTTCCTCTGACACATTACCTCAGTTAGGTCATGAAGAGGATGAGTGAAACGGCCTAGAAACCAGAATTACATCAGCTGCTGTAATACAGTGATCAGATCAAATATAGCCAAAAAACGAAACAAACAAACAAACAAAAACCTCAAAAAAGAAAAGGCTTTAATAAGGCCAACTTATATTTTAGACATTTTAATATTAATCCAATGTGCGGATAATAGTATAGCATAGTTATATTTTAGCATACATGACTAGATTTAGAACTTGAAGTTTGAAATGATCATAGTAATGGCGGGGCCAACCATGATATATAATTCTGTAGTTCGTTAGTAATCCTAGTGCTCATGTGGATTTGTTCATAATCCTTAGGAAGGGCAATCCTATTACCTAATGCGGTGTTACTGCTGCTCCATAGAAGGTAGCTAGCCATGGACTTGATACTTTTACCACTATTTAGTGTGATATTTCCTGCTTATGATTTGATGATGAAAAACTTATCTACTGGACTAGATCCAAATGATTTGGGACCCTGAAATAGAATTTTACTGATGGAAATGCTAAAGTTCAGTAGTAGGATACTAAAAGAAAAGCTTGTTCAGTGATTCCTGGTTAGCCTAACTCTGCTTCTTGAGTCACATTTCCAGGTATCTTCCTGTTCATTCTTCATCCCAGGTAATTCAGAAGGCTTTTTTTTTTTTCTTCTTCTGTGAAGGTCTCTTAAAACACCTTCTAGGAATGCATAAAACAAAACAACAGATTCCTTGCATCTAGTACAGAGAATAATTTGTTAAACTTAGCAGTCAGAGACTACTGATGGAATTATGATGCATCCTAAAAGACTTGAGATACATAATCTTTGATGTGATATGGGCAGTGATTCTTACTGAATTAGAAGACCAGTTCCGGTAGAACCAAATATGATCACTTAAATCCGCTGAATGTCTCCCACATTTTCTCAAGCCATGCAAATATTGCAAGCATATACAGCATTGTCGCTATATAGATACCATACTGCTGAATAAAAAGTTAATGGAAAGGAAATTGATATGATACTCTGCTAGGAATAAAAGTACCAAGCCCAGTTTAGTCCAAAGTATAGAAATGAAGTGTTTAATGCATGAGATTGCAGACAGTATGATGCAATTTCTGCTGGTATTGACACATCTGTGTCTGCTTAAGATTTGCTGCTTTGCAGTTTACAATGTCTAAAATACCTCATTAATATGAATATGCCCCTCTCACACATTTTCATAAACACAGATACATGGCATGTACCTTTTAGACTGAAAATACTTCTTGTTTATTACAGTCAGAAAAGCATTTTAGACTTAAAGACAAAAGTTGGTCTGTATTGCATTCTGCAAATGTTCTGTCTAGTATATAGAGGAAATTGTACAGTTCTGACTTTATTCTCCCAGTGTTTATTACTAATTACTGAAACTGAGGAGCCGCTATATTTTACATCACTGAAACAAGATAAAAAGAGAAGTTTGAAGTGTGAATTAAAGTAGTAGTTGAAATACTAGCTGCTCTGGCTTATGATCCCATATGTCCCTTAGAACTGTTTAAGTGCCTTGGGGAAATGTATTTTTGCTGTTTTCTATCCTGCTATACCTAAATATCTTAGTCACAGTTAAAAACTACAGAATGGCTGGAATAGAATAGAGTCCTTTGAAGGGTGTATGACCTAAAGGACAAAACAGAGAGGTCTGCAAGACTATCTATTTAGCCCAGAAATACAGAATAAAGTATTGAAACTTCCATGTTGCTTAACAACTTACTCTTCTCCATCCCTGTGGGAACTCATTACCCACTCTCGTGTCCAGCTGTTCATTAGATATATGATTATTATTATTATTAAGAACTGGTGTCAGTCAATGCAAAAGCCTGGTTTGAGTTTCACCTCTTTAGAAGGAGGGTGTGTAGGACCCTGAGACATTCCAGCATCCACAGTGAGCCATTAAGCAGACAGATCAGAAGCCAGCAAGCTCTCCTGTGCTTAAGAATTGGGCAGAATGCCAGAGCTGGAATTACTGAGAGGAGACAGTAACAGGAGAGAGATTGTAACACTAGGGAGAAGGAAAGTGAGAAGACAGTCTTAGGAGCGGAAGGAATGAATGAAAAGAGGTTAGAAAGGAGTTGAGTAGGCAACTGGAGTGCAAAATTCTTGGACACTGTTGAACAAGGTAATTGCTTCCTCAGATGCAAGCCTGGTGATAGTACTTAGGCTGACAGAGGCTTTAATTCTGTGTCTGCAAATTCTCTCCTTGATAAGCTGTGGGCAGTGTTCCAGGGACTTAACTTCTTTCCTTGTGATCTGTCACTGGGCCCTGAGAAGTACCCTTGGGATCAAGAGGTTTGATCTCTCGGGCACTGTGCTAGCATTCCAGTAATACCTTGCAGCTCTCTGCTATGTGTGCCTTTGCCAGGATATGATATCGTAGTCATTCTATGTTTGAGATGTTGCATCAAGTCTATAATCAAAAGGTGAAAATGTGCATGTATCCTCTAGTAATTTCTGATTCTTGTCAGTTAGGAGTCTTTGATTAAACTTCTTGTGTAAAGGCATTCTCTTTGTAGAGTTTTCTTGAAGCTTAACGCATAATCTAAATCCCTTTTAAGACTCTTAATTGTGCAGATGGCTTTGCAGGTTTCAGCTTTGTCCCATGTAAATAGTGGAGAATTCCTTGAAAAATATTCCTCAAAAAAAATCTTTGTTACCTACAATATGGCAGCTGCAGGCAAGCCCAGCTATCCTTTGAGTGACTCATTGTGTTAAAGAAAAGAATTTATTTAAAATCAGGCATTTTTGTGTCTGTACATACATGTTTGAAACAAAATTTTTAAATGGACTTGGTTGCAGCTTCTCAGATGTTTCAGATGTGCTTAATTATTCCCTATTTCCAAGAAATCATTGAAAGCATCAAAGTTCGTAAAAACCAAGCATCTTGCCTTTGAAAATATTGTGATTGTATATTCCTTGATGAATACAGGACACTAAGTCTCCCTTGCTTTTGAACCACTAATATGCATCCTACACATCAAAACCTTAATTGCTGTATGAGTTCTAGGAAATGGCCTAAAAATCTTAAGCTACTCTGTTTAAAGCCTTTTAACACAAGCACAGCTGTTAAGCCAGAAAAAGAGTTGAATTGATCTTCTAAATTTTATGTAAAATACTTGCCTGCTAAAAGGCAGTAAAAGGAATCTTCTATTGCTGCCAAATTAAAATATGAACAATTAGCCTATTGGTCTGCAGGAAAAGTGAATGAAGTGCAGTTTACATGTATATTTAAGACCACAAAAGTGGACTTAATTTCTGTAATTTGAAATTCTAAACTTAAATTAGAAGTTTAAAATTATAACCTACTCAGATTGCCAGCATCCCTTTCTGTTTTCCCCTCCTGTCAAAGCATAGAGCATAGGGAGAAATGGATACACCAAGGCATATGATTTCTAAATTATGTTTTTTTTCTGTATACTGTAACATCTTTTTTTTTTTTTTTTTTTTCCCCCACACGTATTTTCAGTAGAACAATTGTTTAAAAACAGAAGTCCTTATTCTTGATTCTCTGATATCAAGGACTCATCAACCACCATCTTCAGCCTAGTTTCTCAGTACTTTCGGCTAAGGAGGAGACCTTCCTTCAACACTGAACTAAACTTGACCTCTGTATCACTTTTCACGTACTACAAATGCCTAAGAACAGCAAGGTAGTAAAAAGAGACCTAGACGATGAGGTCATTGAGTCAGTTAAAGACCTCCTTTCGAATGAAGACTCTTCAGAAGATGCATTTAAGAAGAGCGAACTTATAGTTGATGATCAGGAAGAAAAAGATGTAGATGTTGAGGAAGGCTCAGATGTAGAAGATGAAAGACCAGCTTGGAACAGCAAACTCCAGTATATTCTGGCACAAGTTGGATTTTCTGTGGGATTAGGGAATGTGTGGCGATTCCCTTATCTGTGTCAGAAAAATGGTGGAGGTAAGTTTTGCTGTAGTTAATGAAGTTAATGAAGTTTTCTCATTTCAAGGATAGCACAGGGATTCCTTTACTCCAAGAGTAAAATGTGCTCCAGTGTGTCAGATTTTTCTTTCAGTTTCTGCCAGAGCCTCCGAGGAAAACAAACAAACAAACAAAAAACACATTGTCTTTAATGAAGAGACAAATCTACTAAAGGAAGTAGCAGATTCTTTTACTGAGCTTTCTTTTCCACATATTTTAGGGTAGAAAATTTCTTAAAATTCTTGATATGAACTTCTTTATGGAGAGTTTACATTATTTAAAACCTTATTATTGTTACACAAAAGGGTTCTTTATAGTCTTTGGACAAAAAATCAAGGCATTAAAAAAAGGCATAAAATAAAGGTGCATCCACTTTAAAGACCCAAGCAGTTTAACTGATGATTAGCAATATTGAGCTTTAAATCTGTGGTATTTATTGCTCTTGAAGCTCCTAGAGTGTTTGACCATGATTTGTTACTGAATAACTTCAATCATAAAGTTTATATAAAGGAAATACATCTGTATGGTAATAGTATTGTGCTGTCACACGGTTACATTACTTCTTCTAAATAACAAGTTATCTTTCACTTAAAATAACATCATAAAGATATTTCTTTATTGTCTATCTGTGGTTTAGGATTTAGAATGAAGTGTAAGACTGGATGCTTTCTATCAGTGCAGGTTTAGTGTAATATTCTACGTTATGCTGTTTGCTATTACAGTACATTAAGGTACATTCTAATATAGTTAATTACTTATCTTAATTCAAAACAGATCTGTCGCCTTACAAAAATTAGATTTGTACTGTGAAAGAAAAAAATAAACATGACATTTTATTCACACTGGATTTTAAAGGATGAATGAAAAAGCTGATGTAATGAAGGAGTGTAGAAACTACACACTACTACTACCAGAAACTACTATAGTAGTTATAGTCTAATATAATTCTATAACTTAAGTGTTTTCTGTCATTCATTTTGAGCAATAAAAAAGGAGCTTGCACTTTTAAATTTCTCCATTTGCAGCATGAAGTCTGCTTTTTTAAAAATTAATGTGCACATTTTTCACTTTAATTTAACTTCCCCCCCACACCCTCCCTTTTTTTACTCCGGAAAGCAGTCATTAGCTGATTGGTTTAATGACTTCTGTGGAATCTGAGTTTTTCTTCATCAGTCACAAGGATGATGCTGAGAAATCAAAAGTTGAACATAGTTTCTTAAAAGGGTTATCTTTTTACTGAGCAACAATCTGGTCTAATCTACTAGAAACATACAGTACAGAGCTGATCATGTATTGCTACTCTCTGAAAAAAAATATTTTTAAAGCAAACTGATTTATATTTATCTACAGGGATAACTAATAAAGTGTTTCTGTTCTCTTTCATTTTTGTCCTGCATGTGGTATGAAGATGTGGTTTCAAGGACTACACAATAATTACAGCAGTTTGTTTTGTGTAGCTGTGATCCTTTGGAAAGTCTGATAATATAGTTAACTATGAATTTTGCAAGACCATTAGTTTCTCTTTTGAACCAAAAGAAAAAAGGTGCTTAGAGCCTTCCTTAAACTGTGGGATTCCTGTCTTCAGTTGCTTTTATAAACAAACACTATGCTAGTGACTACAAGTTTAATTCAGATGAAGAAAAATGTATTAAAATATAATTCATAATCTGTATCTCAACTATTAACAAGAAACATTAGAGATTCTGTAATGTCATTAACCAAACCTGAAAGAATAAAAATGCAGTCATTTTGGTTTAAAACTAAATATTTGCACTTCTGCCACGTATCTAGAAACTTCCATATATAGAATAGTCTAGGAAGATATAAGCCCATGGCTGAGACAAAAGTGTATTTTGCTTTAACAACAATTTTGAGTTTAAGAATTTGAAATTTTAGAGATTTGCAACAGAGGAAAGCAAGTGATTATTACAGCTAAAGCTTTCTTTGCATTCAAGCTAGTCATAATGCAAGATTGGGTCAAATGACACAAAAAATTCAAACATTAGTAGTTCTTCAGTGCCTATATTTGTGTGGATGGGCAGATAATTCTTAGAAACATGTAAGAGAGCCAGGGATTAAATTAGATTGCTTTAATGCAATCCATTCAAAGTATCTATGTCAGAACTGTCCTGTAGTCTTTTACCAAGAAAACTTCTAAGTTTCTGAGTATACACTAAGCATATTTTATGCATCTTTATTTACTTATTTGTTTATTTTTTGTTAGAAGGACTTCGGCAAAATATGTGGCTAGGTCTGCAAATACCACTCTTGCCCAAGTATTTCTCATTTTCTTCCCTATCTTTAAACAACTTTTATCTGCCAAATACCTTTAGGCTAGGCAAGTGTGCTAAATACTGGTAAATAGTACATATATTCTAGGTGAAGGGAAAAAAGGAAGAAACATAGTTATTCATTAAGAAGTTTCCTTCACAAATATCCTCCAACATTAAGTGATCCAAAGCCATCAGTAAAAGAGAAGGTAAACCTTAACCATGTAGTCTTCTTAAATTTTATCTCTTTTTTTTAACTTTGACCTTTGATCTTTCCCATCTCTAATTCTAGATCTGGTCTGTACCACCAAAACAACTTCCCATCCTTTCTTTCTTGAGTTCCTTTAAATGTTTGCCCAATTGCTTTCATTTGTATAAATTTACAAGTATTTAGAGTAATATCTAGTAGTTTATAGGCTGATTCTGTCTAGACTGGGCAGTTCCTTGCTTGGTTTCAAAATTGGGTTCCCCCACCCCCTGCACTTGGAAGATGGTTGTAGTAGCAGCTTGCTCTAGCTAGTTGGAGCAGCAAGCATCAAGGGGGGGAAAAAGAGCTGGAAGAGAGTGTGTGCACGCTGGGGTACTTATTTGCCTGGTTTGGGAAGAGAGAGGGCCCATGAAGTTTTAGGGTCTGTGAATGAAGGGCTTAAATTGTTCAGTAAAGGTTTGAAGGACTGCCTTTGGACCTTTCTCTCTGCCTCTTTCACTGCTATCCTTCCCACGGGCTCCTTTTCTTCTCCCTAGTAGGGAATGCCCATTCCCTGTCTGGAATTTAAAATACAGCTTCCATTCCTTTCAGCCTTACAGATAAGAAAGGTGTTTCTTCCTTGAGCCTCACAAAGGTGATCTGCTGGGCATGAGAGGTCTCATCTCCATCTCACTTCACCTCACTCTGTCTGCCCTCGCTGCTGGACTCATGGTCTTGCTGTCATCTTTCATTGCTTTGGTGGTTGTCAGACTCGTGAGCTGACCCAGTTCAGCTGGGTCAGTTAATCCACCATAAAACAGTCTTCTATTGGGTAGTGTTTTTCCAGCCTTGTGATTTGAAATGATGAATGATGGGGTCTCATCAGCACTAGAAAGAGCACCAAAGTAAGTAAAAGCGGGAGCATGTAGGAGTGGGCCCTTGCATTTTTGTTTGGTAGGGTAGTAGGTCAGCTCACGCTGTCTCATGTAACACAGCGTTGAAGTAAGAGAGCATATGGTGAGTAGAAGAAGTAATGTGAAAGTGAAAAGGAGAAATTTATGTAAAGACTTCCTCTTTTACTCTATCTTCATGAATTAAATGTAATTGCCATATTTACTGCTGAATTACTCAAGATTACAAATTTCAGAGAAATAACAAGAATTATAACTGGGAAATTCTTAAATATTTCCAACATTTTTTTTTCTATCTGAAACTAGTTTGAAATTATGCATGTTATGGTACGTCATATTTTATGTCATGCATAATTCATATATAATAGCCTGCATCTTCTTTAAAGGACTTGGTCATGGGTATCTTTACTGCCAACATTCCCAAATACCTACTTTGCCTGTTGCCTCAGAAGACAATAGAGTAATATTATTTTTTATGTACATATATGTATATATATATATATATATATACATACGAGTAAAAATAAATCTTGTATGTTGTAAAACCAAATAATAGGAGCTAGCTGTAAAGAACCTATTATTTAATGTAGCACTACATATTATCAGTAAGAAGACAGCCTTAGATTAATGGACAAGGATAATCTGGTCATTGCCTTCTATGATTTTTGTTCCAGAAACATTTTACATACACCTGTTCTGAATTATTTAGAGCTAAGAACTAATTTCATAAGCGAACATGGGTATTTCAGAACTCAGCAGGATAGAGTTTCACTTCTAAACACCTGGTTCCTGGAATGGTGTCCATATGCTAAATTAGGCGGGAGGTATCAATGCAAGAGTTGGAAGTCATCATCCTTAAACATCATGGCAGAGCACATGTTGTGTGGGGACCCACCCTAGGCAGCCAGCAGAGACTGGTTCTCGTTAGGATTTAGTGTGTAGCCTTGGGCTGCCATGAGCCGTTGTGGCATCTGAAACGCTTGTTATAGCGCTGAAGGTTACTCCTTCAGAACAAAGTTTCTTCATGAACTCAGGACAGCGAGGAGTGGCTTCTTTGTATCCAGTTGCTCAGTGCTTTGACTTTGTGGTGACTAAATTTGACTTCCTTAGCCTAAGGTTATTTAGTTCACATCTTCACACTCCGAATGTGTCTTGATAGCAAAGTGAAGGTTGTTCTGGGTGAAGCAGGTAACTACTGAAGACTGGAATTCAGGGGGTCCACTGAACAGCAAGCCATTGAGGAGGGACTGGAACAAATTAGTGACTAAAGCACTCCCTTGCCTTATGGCCCGTCTTCTGCTGATGCCCAGTTTATATATATGACTTTTAAATACATTAACAGTTCTCAAAAGTAAGATTCCCCCCGTCTGCCTAATTGCTGGCTTATGGAGCCATGCCATCTCTTGGGCCTTCATGTGGTCTGATAGGCCAGCTACAAAATTAGAAGAAATTAAAAGCTACACTGACCTCTGATTGATAGTGAGCCATAAAATTAATAGATTTAGTCTACCCAGTTTTGCAATGCAGCCAACAAATAGTGACAAGCTATACTTGTATTTTTCTGCAGCTCATTGTAGTTATCTAGCAGTGTTTTGTGTAGTGCAAATGTTATTATGAGTCTGCAAAGTATTGTACACAGACTTTTTTTTGTTGAACTTCCATGAACGTTAGCGTAATTTTCCTGATTTATTTTATGTCAATCCTTTTAATAATGTTGTGACTTAAAAGCTAAAAGAACTAGGATATAATGACAAAAAGATGATAGCTGTGAGTAACATGAAAATATTTGTAGAAGATAGATAACCTTACCTTTGCATTTTGAAAACAAAATGATATAAGTAGAAACACCTCAGGAATGTTTACAGTAAAATAGTCTTGACTTTTTTTTACTGAAATACCACCAGGTTAAACAGTTATGGTCATGTGAGTTTATAAAAAACAAAGTATTTATTCCTGAGAACTGTTAAGGAAATAACATTTAGATAATTTAAAGTTTGAACTACATAGTGATTAAAAGTTAATCTGATTGTCTAATTTAAGTGGAATGGGAGCAAAGTAAGTATTCTCTTGTAGCCCAGCACCAAGTGTGGATTCAGTGGCTTCATTATGTAGTTCTTGATCAATGATTTAAAATCAGTGGCTTGGATTTATTGATGTCTTCAGTATTATTTAACAAATTCTAATATAAACTGTATGGTCAAATTCATGGCCTTCAGTGTACTAAAAATGTCTTTTTTTTCCTTTGAAATTAATTGTTTCACTGAAGCTAATTGGCTAACTGAAGCTAATCCTTTAAGCACAGTTTTGAAATGGGCATACCTGAACATATCAAAAATATGAAAAGCTAATTCCATGTGTAGGGCCTTTCTGATAAAATCAGTTTGTATTCTGCAATTGTAAATAAATCCATGTAAAATAGTTTAGTAGACTGTAGTCTACTGTAGTGTTGTGCTGTCCGCTAGTCATAGCTTCGAAATTTTTTATATCTTCTGTTTAAAAGAATTGGATCTTCATCTGAATATTACCTTCCTTCTGGCTTTCTAAGAATGAGTGTGCAATAAGATTAAAAAAATAAGGGGGTATATCTCCTCAAAGCAGGTTAAAACTCTCGCTTATTGAAGGAAAACTTGTATCAGACACTTAAAAATTAGGAACAGCCATAGTTTAACCAAATTTGGGAATATTGGTTTTAGATTTTTTTAGCAAGAATGGCTGGGAGAAGGAAGGTTCTTCTTATAATATCCAGGTGGTAATAGTTATCCTACATTATCACTTTTGTAAGTATTTTCTAATTCTTTAATCATATGAGTCATGTCATTCTGTGTGTTTTTTTGAACATTTATAAGAATTTAGATACGAAATGTTGCCAATTTCTCCCTTCTAGCAATAATCCTTCTGAATTTACTAACTGTGGTAGTATCAAGTGAGATAATCTACCAATTATCTGCCAGTTTAGGCTAATTAAAAAATTTAAGAAATTAAAGTTGTGCAGTGCACAATGTTCAGCAGTCCCTGAAGTCCTTTGTGAAGTTGAGATGAAAGGTCTATGATAGTTTCTTTATATGAAAGACCATTTAAAGTCCCAAAATTGCTATATTTATTTTTAAAGCCTCTACTGATGATTTTTCAGTAAAAGTGTTTTTAAACTGTGGGGGAGAGATGGAGATCTTGAACCATAGAGGGGTTTAATATTCAGAAGGCAGCTTGGCTGGCAGGTATGGCAGAGTATATATGTAAGTAATTGTAGGATGCTGTTCAAGGCCAGCATGTGTAATTTGTTGTCCTAATTCAGGTAAGTATGAGCCCTAATCAACACTAAGTGCAAGGGCCCATGTTTTCATGCATTAGCAAAGAACAGGCATGCAGAGCTGTTTCCAGATTGATTCTGTTTTGTGATGAAGATGTCTTCCAGGTTATTGGAAGTATGTCCAACTTCAAGGGAAGGCTGAAGCAAGGTACTTGTCCAGCTATGCTGTGCTTTCATATGAAGTATAGAGAACAGTAGTGCTTTGCACCATTGATACAGGATTGTACAATCCAGCTATATCCAAGTTCTTACATTGAAACCTGGACATGCACCATATCCTTCTCATGGTGGGGGTGGGGGAAGGGCAGGACTCAAAGGTGCTCTGCAGATTTGGATGATCAGAGGACCTGCATTCCAGGCCCTCTGCAACAAGCCCTGCACTATAGAGATGATTCCTGCTGGCCAACCATGTTAAGTTATAGGATTGAACTGTGGATTGAAAATGTGGAAAATGAAAAGTGGATTGAACACCACGTTTATATAACGCATTTAACTGGATTTAACTGATAAGTCTTGCAACTATATTGATACTGCACCAGAAAACACCCACACCAGCCCAGTCCTTAAACATGTGCTTAACTTTGCAGCCTTGTGGTTAAGGTTGTGGACTGGGACCTGAAGAGCTGGGTTCAGTTCCTGCTCTAGTACAGTCATCCAGTGGGACACAGGGTAAGTCACTTAGGCCCCAATTTCTTTTAGATATTTAGGCTTTTCTCTGCTCACCTGTGTGGCACCTGTATAAGAAAGATATCTCAGGTATCATTACGGTAGTGACACAGTACTTAAAAAACTACGTACTGTTAGTTTTCAGTGAGTTGTAGCACCAAGGTTTGCAAATACTGTTGTCTATGCTGTGACTCATTTGCAGTGTGAATTAATAGTATTATTCTTTCTCAGAAATGAGAGTATAAAGACAATAAATCATGAGTACTTAATAGTATTATTTAGTTCAGACTTGTATATTCCTAAAACAGATAGTCCCAATCATTTTGGAATTGTTGCTCTATTTATCAGAGTGATCTTTCCCCACGTTCGTTTCGCTGCTGCCTTTCCTCTCACAGTCGAAAGCCTTTGCAGTCTTTTCATTATGTGCACATACAAGATCAGCCACAAGAGAGCCCAAAGCACAGATTGGGGATGTATTTACTACCACAATATGAATCATAATTATAATCATGTACTTAAGTAGAGAGTAAGTAATATGCTGAAGTGGGTAGATAGCACATGATGTTTGCCTCTCTGAGGTAGCATTTTAACCTCAGAAAGAGTAGGTTGTTCAGAACTTGGCATAGTTCTTGAAGAAATGCTGCTCAGGCATAGTCATTGCATATTGTATTATCATATCATGAAAATAAAGTACAAGCAGATGTTTCATTACTAACAATAGCTTATGGAGTGTAGAGTAAAAAAAGATCAATATTTTTTTTCTCTAGCTCATCAGTAGTTTTTTTTTAATGTAGGTTTTCTTTCCTCTTTTCTTAGTTTTCTTACAGAACTATGACTTTAGTTACTCCTTGCTTAGGATCTTTTTCAGATCTTTATACAGGAGATGATGTTCAGCTTATTTGTGTTTCATGAAGAGCAGAACTGCAAATGGACCAACACAGGAGCTGATGACACCGGCTGTACAGCTGTAGAACAGCCAATCTTCTCTAAAATAAAGCCTACAGCATGAGATGCTCTACTTACTAATGCTACAAATTGCAGTGTGTTTTGACAGACTGCTGAAAAAGCACTAGAAAGTTGGTGCTGGATGAAGAAACTTAAAGTAAGACTTAAATGGAATTGAAGCTGTCAATCTCAAAGAGGTTTCTGAGAGGTTTCAGCTTCTTTATACTAACAGAAATAAGTAAACTCATCATACAACTCAGTAGTTTTATCTGCGGATCCAGGGTTCTGAGGTCGCCGGATTTTTACGTTGCAGCCTGTTCAGACATGCTACAGTCTAAATCTCAAGTACTTTTTCTTTAGCCTGACAGTGGTTGTGAACACGAGTCCTAAGCTCTGTGAGTTAGGCCACCAGGACAGTCAGTATTCTGTGTTGTAGTAAGAGCTAGATATTTGAAAATGAGGTGCCACGGTGCTAATTACTGATGCTTAAATATGTTGTTAGTTCTAGTATTAAACACTGTCCACATGCAAGGATGAAGCTTGTCTCTCAATTGTCCGTGCTCTTAGCATATGGATATGTTTGCTTGCAATTGATCTTACAGATGAGATGCAGATACTCACATCCTGAATTTTGAAATGCATATAATTGCTTCCTTGGATTAATATCTTGGAAAGAAGAATTCCTTTATACATAGATATAGATATATAATACGCATATATATATGTATGTATGTCTAGAGATGAAAGAACAGCTTGGTTTTCCAACAGAAAAGTTAACTGGCGTTTGTAGTACATCAGGTAGACTATCTGGATCTATGATACTCCATTTTCACCTCGTGTGTTTATTTCTGTCTGTAGAGATGGGCTGATACAGATTTCTTATTTAGCTGATGCAATTCTTTACATTGTGAAATCTCATTACGGAGCATCTGAGGAATATCTGAAGAAGTAAACAGTATGGTTTTCATGTGCTAAGATTGGATGAAATTCAAGATGTATCACACGCCCTGTGCTATTTCCTTTACATGTTCACTCTTACTACTCAATAAAAATTTAAGGTGTAGCATTTTAAAAAAAAGTTGATTCAGCTCCTCATAAAAATATCTCTAGATCGTATGCCCAAATTTTGACAGGAACAGTTGGGTTAGATAGATTTACTTTATGTAAAGTTTGTCTCAAACTGTTACAGTGTTGTCACAGTATATCATCTCAAGGTTTTCTAGATTTTAAAAGATACACAGCCATAATTCAGATAAAATTACATATTGCACATGACGAAAAAAGTTTTGAAGTAAATGACGTTATTTCTAACTTGAAGATGGTTTCCCATTTGTTTTGTCTGAGAGACTAGTCTTACACCTCTGATTTATATATATATTTTTTCCTTTTGTAGGTGCATATCTTGTGCCATACTTAGTCTTGTTACTGGTAATAGGGATTCCACTCTTTTTCTTGGAGCTTGCTGTGGGGCAAAGAATCCGACGAGGGAGTATTGGTGTGTGGAATTATATCAGTCCCAAGCTTGGAGGAATTGGATTTGCAAGCTGTGTAGTAAGTTTTTATTTTAGATTGTGTGATTTGTCTAACAGTCGGTGTGATTTCAACCTTCTATTTTGCTCTTAGAAAAAGGAGACTTATTTGAAGCTGAGCTTCAAGATCAATTACAATTTTTGGGAAGATCTTAATAATCATATAATAATCTTATATTTATATGGATGCATCTATAAAACCTAATCCCCTACTCTGTGATTTTCCTGAAGGTAGGAACTAGGAAATAGATTAGTCTTCTGGGAGGAAAGAAGCCTGTAAAAAATGATTACATGTTATGGGATAAATACAGAGGAAAAAAAGTGAGAATTTAGAAAATGTGAGGTACGTTGGAGAGGCAAGCCATTGAATTCTTTTTTTTTATTCTGTCTTTTTTTTAGTTAAAAAGTTGAATGAGCAGAAATATGCAGAATTAAATGCATTACTGTTTTTTTTTTTTAATTTACAAATGCAGTTAACGTACAACTTTTTGGTGTATCTTTTTTGCAGGTGTGCTTCTTCGTGGCCCTGTACTACAATGTCATTATTGGATGGAGTCTGTTTTACTTTTCTCAATCCTTTCAGCATCCATTACCATGGGACCAATGTCCTTTGGTTAAAAATGCATCTCACACCTGTAAGTTTGTAATATATAAAAATCATCCAGGGACAAATATGGTGTCATTAAGGAAAGGCTAATCTTTTTATTTAATTTTACTGGCTTTGAGTCAAGATTTATTCAGGAAAATATAAATCAAAACCCTGCTTTTACATTTGTCTCTTTTTTCAGCTAATACTTGTAATTAACATAACTGAAGAGAATTGAGAAAAGACATTTTCTCTTAATTCTTTCAATTGCTTTATTTTATAGAATTGACTAACCTGTTGTATAGTGAGTTACCCTTTTAATTCTCTATTGTCGTTTAGGAATATATATATGTATATATATATTTACACTTAAAGTAGATGTTACATTATGATACTCAGAAAATTACAATAAATCTAATCTGAAACAAATACACTGAATTTGGAAAGGAACATCACTGTCAAAATTATTTTAGAGATTAACTGAAATAGATGACTATTATTACTTTAGTCTGTTGCAGGAAAAAGTTAAAGGAATTTCTCATTACATTTTTCTGATTTTAAGACTCTTTTGATGTTTACTCAGTGAAAAACAAAGGTGAAAGAGCCTGTTCCTGTATTTTACTTCCTGCCAGCAAAGTCAAGAGAGGTTGTAATCCTAACAAAGCAGAATAGAGAAAACTGTAGACATCTGTGAAAAAAAATCATGATAATACATTTGTTTACTTTTAAACAAATTGAATTAGGGAATTCGTAGTTTGATTGTAACTATAATAAGATGGCCTTGTGTGGGCATACTGTGCAACAGTATTGAAAGTTGAACTTATGGAGGAACCCTTTTAAACTTTGTCTTAAAATTTTGCTGTTTTTGTGTCACTGTTTTAACATTTGTAAAAGCCTGTTGATTTGAGTGTCATATCAAAGTAGACACATTTGAATTTTTTTATATTTTTTAAATTAGTATAATTCAACCTTCAGAGTGGTAATTTTCATATGTAGGAAATCTCATTTCCTGTGCGAGGAATGAAATGTATCTCTTTCTATCTAGGTTTGCCTGCTAACTAGTACTGAAATCAGAACTAAATTCTGCCTAGGACTTAGATTAACCATCTGCAGAAGAATATATTATCCCAGAAGACTGTTCTAAAAAGATGTATAAAGAAATTCCCACTGCTAGCAATCACCACTTCATTTAAATAATATCTTTAAATCTTTGTGGATCTTTGCGAATTTTGGTCCTAAGTAAATGTCAATGCTATAGTTGTGTACTGTGAGGAGTGACAAAACACTGTTGTGAAATGTTGGAAAAATACTTCTGCACTGAACCCATTCTTGATTTACTAACATTTCTTCACAGTTGTGGAGCCAGAGTGTGAAAAAAGTTCTGCAACCACTTATTACTGGTACAGAGAAGCCCTGAATATTTCCAGCTCGCTCTCACAGAGTGGGGGTTTAAATTGGAAGATGACTATCTGCTTGCTGGCTGCCTGGGTCATGGTATGCCTAGCTATGATCAAAGGCATTCAGTCTTCAGGCAAAGTGAGTACACTATTTACCTACATGACAGTGTTTTACTTTGAAACATTTAAGATCTACTTCACTGCATTTTTGTTCACCACACCCTCTGCCTACCCTCTCTTGAAATCTGCAGGAGTAGTCTAGAAGCTCTGACTCACCCCAGTATTTGTATAATCACAAGTAGGAGAATGTTAGTAGTTAAGCATTAAAACTGTAAATTAAGCCCAGGAGCGGCCATAAAAAAAAATCTGCTTTTATTTAACACAACTTTTTCAAATAACTGCACCTCAGCTTTGTTGTACTGTTGATTCAGCATGTGTCTGTATGCTTCTGAATGTCAAACTAAGGAATTAAATCTCCAGATATATCCATACTCTCAGTCTGGTTGTAATACATGCATTAGAATTCCATAATTAGTCCTCAAAATGCCCTAATTTTTAGACTTTTATTTTTAACGGTCATTGCTCTCCGTGCTTCTGTAACACTCTGTAGTAATCGTAGCCTCCTTTCAGTATTCAGGAGTGTTCTTTTGACTAACAGTGCATCACCTTGTTTTTATTCCCTTTGATGTAGTCAAGTAGATTTGCTAGCGATGTTGATCTCATTGGGTTTTGCAAATGAAATGAAAAATAATCTTTTTTTTTTTTTTGCTGTTTACAAAATATGCTATCAGGATTATTTTTAAAGAGGAACTGATGATAGAAAATTTCTGTAACTTCGTTAGTGTATTTCAGCTAGAGAAATAACTGTCAAAAGTTACTGAGTGACAGAATCGTTTTACTGATGATTTCAAAGCATGGAATAAATTTGCTATTCAGGAAATGATGGAGAATGAAAGATCATATTCCATTACTAAATTTTCTTTTTCTGGATATATTAGATAAAATCAGTCACTGTGACAGAAAGATATTCAAATGAATACAAATATTAAGGTGATACGAAAGCCCAGAAGTGACCCAGAAGCACAAATACAACAGTACAAGCAGACTCTTCAGCATGAAAAGCTGGCCAGTATTGCATTTTAGGACTCTGAAGGCAGGGCTCTGCATTTTGTTTACCTGACAGTTAAAGCCATATTGCTGTTTTTTTTTTTTTAACTCAAACTTACAGGATCTTGAGTCACTCCTGTTGATCAGAGAATATTCCCAGTTCTTTTTCTTTCCTGGCAATATATGTTATGTGAGTGCATTGATAATGTACTCTCCATCGACTGCGTATTCACACCTTCCAAAGAGAGAATGAGAATTCTTTGAGAATTCAATCTGCAGAGAGCAGTAGCTGTTTCTCCACTGTATTATCTGCATGAATCGAAATGCATTTGTAAAGTGTAGCATTTCTAAAACAGGCTGCTTCTGTCTTCTCATCTTTTCATTGAATTTGCATTGAATTTCCTTAGAAGACCAGTACTCTCTGAGTACTGTCATGCTGATTTTGTTTTATCTGCACAGTGAAAGGGAATAGAGAGAAGTGGTTTGTTTATCTTTTTTTTTTTGAGAACATATGTTTATCAGTTCAGTCATATAGACAAAAGATACTGACTAGAAAATAAAACTACTAAAAATGAGGGCTGTGAATGTCATGTTAAATGTCTTTTCAATGTTTTTCAGATCATGTATTTTAGTTCCCTTTTTCCTTACGTGGTGCTTTTATGCTTTCTGATCAGAGGACTGCTCCTCAATGGGTCAGTGGATGGAATTCGTCACATGTTCACACCTAAGGTAAGTACTTAATTTCTGTCTGCAATGTACTTAAAGTTTCAGTGGCAATTTGACCGTTTATGAAGTCTCTCAATTGAACCTACTGCCTTCATAGCAGATCCTGCTTGTCAGTTTTCAAAATGGCTGTAGACTTCAGTGGCACAATATCAAGTCCTAAGGTCCAAAGACTCATTATTAAAGGCTCAGTGTTGAGATACATCCTTTAGGTGGCAAGTTCCCAGAGTTAAATGTTTTCACAAAGTTAAGCATTTACAGTACTTAGGATGTGTAGCAAGCTCCAGTGGCCAGTACTAAAGACAGAAGTGAATCTTAAATCTTGTCATTCCCTAGAATTTAAATGCCTAGTTCTGGGATGTCACAGTGAAATGCCATACACTGAATGCTTTCCTGGATTTACGTGGTGAATTTGTCCCTTTTGAAAAGGTTGTTCATTCTTTTAGAAGTAAGTGCTGCTTGCATAGTAGTCCAGAAACATAGGAGACCTAACACTCTGCTCATCTTGTGAAAGTGGTGTAAGCAGTCACCAGTCAGCTTTCCTTACTGTGCTCCATATGGCTGTCACAGCAAGAGAGCAGCAGTTCTAAGCATATGTTTTTGCCATCTACATTTTTGCCAGTGATGTTGTATGTAACAGTAAATTTTAGCACTGGAAGGGTGAGAAGGGATGCTAAGAATCATTGGTTAGCCTGAATGTCTGAATTATATATACACTGCATCAAAATACTTTTTACTGCATCCATTCTACAGGAACAGTGTGGTTCAGTAGTCAGGGCTATACTACCTCCTTGCTCAGATATGCATAATTTTGCTTCCAGTAAGTCAGTTTAACAGTACAATTCAGCAGAAACAAATGCTCAAAAAGAAAGCTAAACAATAATGTCATTTAAGTCAATGCACATAGAGGCTAATGACAGATGACGGAAATGTTGTCACGTGTTTTGATTCCAGGTATTTTGAGTCTGTGGAGAACCATCATCCTATAAAACTGACGTGCATTAGCAGTTTCTTTTGCTGCAATAGGCAAGTGTGCATACCTGAGCACGAGCACTTTGCTCGTTCATATGGGTCTTCGGATTTGTGGTTCTTCAGAAACTCATAGGCTGCTCAGGCAGATTTGGGGAAATCCTAGCAACAGAGAAATGCCATGCTTATTGACAAAGACGATGTCTCTTGCAGAGGTGGAATATAGACCTCTTGAAATTATACTTTGGTTCCTCAACCACAGTGTTACCATTTAATTGTAAAAATACCAGGAGATACCAAGCGAAAGTAAATATTAAAATTAAAAAAGGGAATATTTAATATTCCCTTTTAAGACTAATACTTCAGCACTCAATATTTGAACTTTCATGAGATAGACAAGAGTTAAGCTAATAACTCAATAGTACAATTGTTTAAAACGTATAGATGAAAAATGTCAAAAGAAAAAGCACTTTTAGTTTCTTCTGTTGGTTTCCAGGTATGCACTGGAGTTGTGGTTTAAATTTGACCTTAGGAAACCTGTATATCACATGCAGTGTATGTGAATATAAACCTTCAATATATATATATTTTTATATAGTCTCTGATTATTTCTCAACTTGAACACTACAGTCCCACTAACTGGGACTGTAAGTCCATATGAAGCATTCTTTCCCACTCGAAGGAATTCTGGTGCTGCTTTCTTTCTCTCCATGGTGCTGACAGTTTGTTTAGGCAAGTAGGTTGCAAAGTGGATTGCTAAACCGATCCAGGTTGAAAATAACTCACTTATAGAAGAAAAATCTTTTCAGCCTCGATTGCTTCAGCAAACCAGATGACAATACCCCATCACAGATGACAATACCCCATCACAGAATAATTGTGTCAGCTCAGCAGGGGGGTGGTACACAGTGGCACAGGTGTGACAGAAGGGGTGATTGTCACAGTTTGACATGGCTGGTGAAGAAAACAGAAATGCGGAATGTTAGAAGCACTGAATACTGAAAGAAATGTATATCAAAAGCCCACTGAAGTCAACAACTATGAAGAAAATACAGGAATATATGAAGCTAGTTCATAAAGCTATACCTAGCCCTCAAAATCTCACAGTAAATGTCTTATAATAAAAAAACTGCGTTTTGGACATCTAGGCAAGGTGTATCTGGAGAAGTAATATCTTTGATTAGGCCAAATTATATGTTGCAGAAAGAGGAGTTTTGGGATATTTAAAGCATCTAAAATTTTGGTAAAACTAAAATTATGCCTCTATCACCCTCTAGTGAAAAAGATGAAGCATAGCTGTGTGGCACTGCTACTGTAACTAAAGGAAGTGTTTTTTTTTTTTCCTCATGTTAAGGCAGTCAGTCATTTTGGTAGTGTATTTAGGCGGATGCTTTTTAGTTTACAGTTTTTGATAAGGCTATTTTTTTTTTAAGGATCATATTATCAGAAGTAAGGTTTGTTACTGTCATATAGGAGAAGGCTCTGAATCAACTTGAGAAAAATCTAATGTTTAAATTTCATGTGCACTTCTTTTTTGGGGGTCAACTAACTATAAAGATCTGATATAAGCCAAAGATGGCCTTTAACTTTAACAAAGAACTTTCTTAAAATGTGGTCATCCAAAGGAGCAATGTAGAGATAATTGTTCTGTTTTCTATACAAGCCTTTGTTGTCCCTTAAATACATGATCTATTTAGCTCTGGGAAGGTTCAAGGCGTTTTACGTGACAGACCCTTAACTCAAAGAGTCAATACTGGTAGCAAGGGCAGTATTTATTTTATATGTTACATTTTGCTTTTCATGTAATAGAATTCTCTGTAAGTATGTTTGATGTTTAGTTAATAAAAAATCTAAACAAATTAAAACAAACTTTAGGAAAGGGTTCATCATCTTTAAAATAGATCTTAATTCTTACACTGGTCAAGCTATATATTGTAAAAAAATAATAAAAATGTGACATGTTGTCTGCAACTTCGTGCTATTACTAGCTGCTAGGTCCATTATCATACAGGTGCAATAATGCCTCATTGTGGAGACATACTATAAGGTAGATTTCTCTTTAAAGGATCATATTGCATAAAGTCAATGAAAATCCTGGGCCATGAGTTCACCCAACTTTAGGTATCACATTCTGCTTTATCGTAATAAAAATGCTTTTATAGTGAAGTATTAGCATTTTGTTATGTAGGTTGTCTCCTATTTTTTTTTTCTGTTGTCTTTTCATATAATAGAAATGCATTTTATAGCTGACATATATTGTATCTAATTTCAAACAGCTTGAAATAATGCTGGAGCCCAAGGTCTGGAGAGAAGCTGCTACTCAGGTGTTCTTTGCCTTAGGGCTTGGATTTGGTGGAGTCATTGCCTTTTCAAGCTACAACAAGAGAGACAACAACTGCCATTTTGATGCTGTACTGGTGTCCTTCATCAATTTTTTCACTTCTGTGCTGGCAACTTTGGTGGTGTTTGCTGTTCTGGGCTTCAAAGCCAATATCATAAATGAGAAATGTGTTATCCAGTATGAATATTTTTTCATTTTTATGGTATATTCATTTGGGAATTCACACAGATTATCCACTTTGATTTCTCCATTTTATTGTGTTTTACAGAAATTCAGAGAAGATTTTAAAACTTTTGAAAGCAGGCAATCTTAGCCAGGATATGATCCCACATCATATCAATTTCTCAAGCATTACAGCAGAAGATTACAATTTAGTTTACGACATTATTCAGAAAGTTAAAGAAGAAGAGTTTGATTCTCTTGGTCTGAAATCTTGTCAAATTGAAGATGAACTGAACAAGGTGAGATCACAAAATCGCTGCTGCAAAGACGATAAAGGTTTACGGAACTATTTTTAGAAAAGTTGAGCACAATTATTTTCCAGAGACTAAACTGGAGATGTAAATATTCAACATCTCAAACTATAATAGTTTGAGATTTAAAAGTTTTAAGATATAATTTTTAAATGTAAATGCTATTTGATCAGAAAGTTAAAAAGTAATTTCTTTTTAGATAAGTATTTAATTATCATTGTCCTATCCTGAATTTATCACAACAAGCCTGGTTGCTTCAGTGAGATTTTCTGTTTTATGGAATAACCCCTATTTACCTGCGCCAGCATCTGAAATGAAAACACTGTTACAGCTCACGAAAAGTTCTGTACATTCTGACAGTTCTAATCTGGAACAAATAGATACAGAAATGGAGTCCTTCATATATTCAGTGGAAAGAACACAGTGTGTTTTGTAGAAGTCCTGTGTCTCCCATGCAAAATTATCAGTGAGTGAAATAAAAGTATGTTGTTTATATCAGTCACTTAGAGGTTTGTGGCCAAATCAATCATTTCAGTGAATAATACTAAATTTGGAAATGTGGGAAATGCAATTTCTATGAGGTTTCCATTCTACCTTCAAAAATAAATCAATGGCATTATATGAACATGAAGTCAGACTCTTGTACCCAAACCTACAAAAACAAGCAAATCAAAACCTCTGTCCATTAATTATAGCATGTGGATTTTGTTTCCCCGACAGGCTGTTCAAGGGACTGGTTTAGCTTTTATTGCCTTTACAGAAGCAATGACCCACTTTCCTGCTTCTCCTTTCTGGTCAGTCATGTTCTTCCTCATGTTGGTAAATTTGGGACTTGGAAGTATGTTTGGAACTATTGAAGGCATCATCACACCAATTGTTGATACCTTCAAAGTGAGGAAAGAAATTCTCACTGGTGAGTTTCACAAATTTTATTTTGTTGCTAATACAGTAGAGGAAGAAGACATCTAAGAATGTCTTGGAAATTATGATTTTTTTTGACATATATATATATAAGCATTTTTAGTGTTGACATACAATGTAGTCCTAACTCAGGGTATTCCGAACTGTACTTCCATGCATGTGCATGTTGGTATCTCCAGATAAAACTATTTTCTGAATACTTCAAGAGGAAGAGTATCCTAAAACTTAAATTTTATTACAGCATTTATGTGCAAGTTTCTGTACATTCGGTCCTTCTAGCTCTTCCAAAATATTCTCCATTCCAATCTGTGCCACAGGCCAAGGACATAAAGATCTGAAACAAAAGTAAAGAATGAAAATATGTTGTCCATTACTGCAGATTGTTTTAAGTTCAAGCAAAAATCTATGGTTAAATGTTTACTGTGCTTAAAGTCAATATGCTTACTGTCTAGAGAAATAGACTTTTTCCCCCAAACATTGAAAGGGGCTTAAACAAGATATCCGTTTCCTTAAACTTTTAATTTAATTCGCATGATCTTGTAAAGTTTCTGTTTCTTAAAATAGAAAAACAGGGTAAAATGTGAAAGTTAAAATTCTGAAAATCTGAAGGAGGGACTGGATATACGATGGGAAGATTCAGATATCAATATCCGGGACAAAACAGGTGAAAAATAGACCTAACTGTTTCAAAATTATCCAACTCTATGAAGAAAATATCATTGTCATTTACAAGAATACATTTACCAAGAGTTAGCGACTGATACCATAGAACACTGCATTTAATGGAAATATGTATTTTTGTATTTTGCTAGATCTAAGAATTAAATTCTTCGTAAGATTAATCTGATGTTTTTTGGAGGGGTTCTAAAGTACTGAGCAGGATGAGACTATTGCCTTTTTTTAAATCAGCTCTTAAATTCCTATTGAATAGACAATATGACATTTAAGAAATCAGCTATTTCCCCCAAATATATATGCGAATAATATTGTCTTGGAGATACATTTTTGTCATGAAGATAAAATCGCATTTTACTGTAATTCACTGTTAAAGAGTTTGCCAAATGCGGATGAAATAGAGGAGTCTGAGAACTACTTTTATCTGATATTTTTGTGTTATGCATGCATGATTTTCTGCTCAAGTTAACTGCATTCAAAGGATTACAATATAATGTAATATTTTTATAATTAATTTATAAAACCAGAATACCTAGGTTAAAACTCACACAGTAGCAGTGGGATTTAACAAGGGTTATACCCGCCCCAGTGTTTGTACTGAGGAGCTACAGATCTTCAATTTTTACAGGAAGGCCAATAAATACCTTTGTAATTGGCAGCATTATGGCTCCAGTCCAGTTCCTGAAAAAATGAATTCAGAGGAACCAGTTCACATACTTAAGGTCATTTTGTGCTCAGGTATCTCCAAATTGGAGTGTGCATGTGTGTGCTGAGTTAAGAATAATATACCAAAAAAAAGCCGTAGTTTAGAGCAAGATGCACATTTTTTGGACACAATGGTAAGACATGATGGGAGAACATAAAAATACAAGATAACCAAATTGCATATACACAATTTTTCTCTTAGGCTTTTGTCACAGTAAATAATAATAAAAATAATGTTTTTATCAGACGCATGTTGTGAAGATTCTTTTGTCAGCGTGGGTTAGGAATTCATACCAGTTTATACTGATCTCTAAGCTCTTATTCTCTGAAAATCAGTATTAAATCGTAGATGCTGCAGGGTTGTTAAAAAAACAAACAAACAAAGAAAAACCAAAAAAAAGCAGTGATTTTATACCACCGAATTTACACAACTTCTGTTTTCTTCCTTTTAGTATTTAAAGCAACAGTAAATAGTCTGGAGCACAGTGGGTATCCTTTGAAAGGATCTTCTGTACTTTGGCCTAGATTCATCTCACCTAGTTTAAGATAACTTGGTTAGGTGTAATGCTATTCTAAGTTTTTAATGGAGGGAGAAAGAGTGCTTCAAGAGGGAGAACCAGTCTTGCTGGTGTTGTTTGCTTAGCCTATAAGTATTTTTACATTTTATTGAAATTCAACTTGTGCTAAATGATGTTTGTGCCAAATGAATTGTGCAGTGAATGAGAGAAGCCTATTCAACATATATATATATTTAGAATTGTAACCTTAAAATTTAGTCTTTCCACATCTAATTTATAAAAAGATCTAACGACCAAATAACATCATGTATGGTGCTTAATTTACCAGTTTTCCTTATTTTTAGCCTTGTATTCATATTAAAGAGAAATAGTTTAATCAGAAATAGTCCTGTGATTAATCTGTGTCTCATCATAGCTGCCTTAATGTGCAATTCCAGTAATTACTTCTATTTGCATGACTTGTTTGATAGGTAGGGAATATGTAGGATCCCTAAAATTATCAAAATTGAGATCAAAAAAAGGAAAATGGTATCATTTTGATTTTTTTTGAAATGTTCTATTAAAATGTTTGGTAACTCTCTATTTCCTGGTTCTCTATGGAATATTTTTATTATTACAGTTCACATTTATGTCCTTTATTCCAGTCATCTGCTGCTTGTTAGCATTTTTTATTGGCCTGATCTTTGTACAGCGCTCTGGAAATTATTTTGTCACAATGTTTGATGATTACTCAGCTACACTGCCTCTGCTTATTGTGGTCATTCTGGAGAATATTGCAATTACCCGAATATATGGCATAGACAAGTAAGTGAAGGAACTAATTTCCTTGTTCATATCAACAGTATTCATTACAATAGTTATTACTATTTCAGTTATACAATATCAGCTATTTGCTGTGTCCCCATGAAGATAGGAAGGGTGTTCCAAACCCAAAGAGATGTTTCAGTTTTATAAAAGAAGGAAGAAAAGGAAAAACAAGGTGAAAGCATTGGGAGTTAAGGATGAAAACAGGAATTTTTACTGATAGCTGTTTCTTGCTGGTAAATATAAAGATCTTTTTGTTGGTATGGTAAAGAATTCAAAATAAGTCATCCGGGACTTAAATTAATTCTGTTTTAGAAACAGATTTGATAAGTAAAGAAGATTTCCCACTCGTGCTAAATGTGTAATCCTATAATTAAGCATACAGACATGAAAGTACCAGATAAAAAACAGATGTAGGAAATGGTCTGAACATTGATTTAGTATTGTCCAAACAGGGAGAGTTCCACTATGGAAGGAGGTAGACGTGCAGAATCATCAGCTGCCTTTTAGTAAAGTTGGTTAGAATATCTAAAATACTTAAATTTTGAATTAGAGTTCATTTTATTCATGTTTTCAAAAAGGTTTCAAACAATATGACAGTTAGTAGGCAGGTTTCTCATACATCGTCGCCATCTCAACCTTCCTCTGCAACAGTTCTAAGAACTATTCCTAATCTTTTAGATTTCTCCAGAATGTCCTTCCTCAGACACCTAGCATTCTTGTTTGCAAACAACCTAGGGTTGTCATTAATTTTGGTAGCACCAAAGGGTCAAACTGGGAGGTTAAGGTACAGATATATTACGTCTCCTTAGACGGACATAATATCTGTGAACATATAGAAAAAACATTATGTCCAAAGGGATTGCAGGGTAATCCCTCTACACCCAAAGGGTAGAGGCAGCAAATGGATATAGTCAGCTAAGGAAGCAACAAATAGAAGATACTGGTTAGCTTGATGAATACAGGTTTTCTAAAGCATCTGCTGTCAAGTTATGTGTAGACTTTACAACAAACAAAAGATTATTGCAATACAATTGGAGGAATTTATGAGTGAGGAGTGGTTCAGAAGATACTTTTATGAAAATATAGAAAGAGGGAGATAAAAACTTGCTTGAATCAGCAAAGCTAAATGTGATTGGTAGCTTATAAAACATGGTAAGTAGGACAGACAGATGATGAAAGGCAACATAACAGATTTATGTTTAGTTGGATGAAGGACTGGAGACCTCAGGAAGAAAAGGCCACCTACAGAGGGCACAAGCCATTTGTAAATTCACCCTCTTTTTAACAGTACTTATCAATGCATTGTAGACAAAAGATGGGACACTCCAAACAATCCAGTTCAATTATTTTTTTGAGCTTTTATATGACAATAGCTTCACATATGTAACTGCTTTCCAAGCATATTTGTTGCTACGAGATCTTTTTTATAGTTGTGTTTCAAAAAGGAATGGAACCACAAGGAAGTTAAAACAGAATCAGTGCTTTGTGTGCACGCTCTCAAAGAATTAGCTCTAAAAATATCCTGTCTTTTTCTACTGCCTCTGGAACCTGTGTATGTTGCTGTCAAGAAGTACAAAAAAGGGGTTTTGTTCAGAACATAAATTGCAGTTTTGAGGCACAAGGAGGCAGATTTAAGACTTCACAAAGTTTTATTTCAGCAGCTTAATATAATGCAAACCATAGCTTATGTGTAATGTAATGATTTTTAAAGAGCAGCACACATATGGATTCAGAATTAATTTTGCAGAATCTATAAGATGTGCTGTTTTTATATGCACTCAAAAGTGATGACACATGCCTCAGTAAATAGCCTGGTAGACAATATAGGAAGATGTTAAAAAAAAAAATCTATAAAAAGAAAGGTGAGTTTAAATGTCTTTCCAGCATGCCCACACACTAAATTTGCTCCAAGTCATGCTCCCATCGGGCCTGCTTATGAGAAAGTGAGGGGAACTGCTATCCCCAAGAGCTGAATATCTCCTCTGGGCCTTTACCTGGGCTCTCTTTCACCTTTTTAATGCTCATGTAGCCAGCAGAGACACAGAAGTGTGAGGGAGTTGTTGCTACTGCTTGGTTTGGCCTATCGCAGAAGCAAGCAGTGTCTCCTTTTTTTTTTTTTTGTATATTTGCACAAGAACAAAAAGAACAAAAACACAAGGTCATAAACTATATCCGTCACTGCTGCCTTATTCTAGAGTAGTAGGCAGTCTGGTCTGCCTCCTTAATCTCCTCACTTCCTCCTCTGCTCCCTGGAACACCTAAAAGAGCCCTGTTTTCTCATTGCAACAGTTTTCTGTATGACATGACACAAGAAATTAATTTGGTTTCATCTACCCTAATAGTAGAAGTAGTAAGAAAAGAAGTCTTCTTGTGCAAGGGATGAGGTGAGGCAATGGGGTGGACTGTTTCTCAGCTCTTGTTTGCAAGCAGCTGTTTGCATGGGAGGCATGGCTAGAAGTACTTGTAGAAAGGGCACTATCTCCTTTACATCAGGAGGGAGTCCCATGTGTCCCATGGTGTGGAACAGGTGAGCAGCCATACAATATAGGCCAGAAGATGCAGCTTTCAAGACCATCTTTTTCAAGATCATCTTAGTTCTTGTATTTAAAGAAATTTCCATAAGTAATTTTGTTGTATCTTCAAATAATGCTTATATCCATACTGCATCAAAAGTTAGATGTATGCAATTATCTGAATTGCAGTAGACTGATAGTCACTGTTCAAATATAGGGGAGAAGGCTCAAGTACCAAACGTTCCCGCAATATAGGGTTTTAGAAAACTCTACCAGTGTTTACATACTTCCTGTCCCACTTTTAACCTTGTTTATGGAAGCAAACAGTTCATCTTGCTCTTCTACTATGGTGTTTGCTTGTAGGTGAAAGATTATCCTTTGGAAAAACCTATGGAAATGCACTCTATCATTTGAATTCACAAATGAAGTGAACCTAGGTTTCAAAGTTATGGCTGCTTAGCTCAGAGACCCGTGTTAGTGGAGAGGATTACTGTAATTAGAGCCTGTTTTAAAAGACTTTTTAAAGTGTTGCTTTGCATATTTTTTTTATGCTACAGTAATTACTTACATCTGTAAGATGTAAGATAGTTGTGAATGCTAATTTGATTGGAGCCCCGAAAATGTGATCTTACTGGTGAGGAAAGTTAAAGGTATTTCACAGTTTCTCCCGCAGACAGATTCAAAGCAAAAGCTGCATTTAATGCACTTCAAGATACCTCTTGCTCTAGTCTCTATTTTCTCTTCAGCAATCTGGCATTGTGACAAATCAGGCATTGAAACTTGGAATGGAAACTTTTCTGGACTAGAAATAAATCACGATTCTCCCTTTTACTTTTGATTATACTAGGAGTTGGGCATAAACTTTGACAGATGAAAAGCCAGTTTACTAACTCACTGCACCATGTAGTCATTATTAGTTCTTCTAGTTGTTTCTTTGGAACCGGAAATGTAAGTTGTATTTGTCAGCCAGTCAAAAAAAAAAAAAAAAGTGCAACTATATCTGTATTCTGTTTGTTCCCTCAAATTTGGTGTCATTTATCAACTGTGGAATCTCAGTGTACACAGTAACAGTAACCTTTTCTTCCCTTCACAGATTTATGGAGGATTTAAAGGATATGCTCGGTTTTTCTCCAAGCCAGTACTATTACTATATGTGGAAGTATGTTTCCCCTTTGGTATTGTTACTCTTGCTGGTAGCTAGCATTGTCCAAATGGTATTAAGTCCTCCTGGTTACAATGCTTGGATTGAAGATATGGTATGTATATAACAAATATTTATTTGTATTACAATGGTCATATTTACAATGTGTCAAGAGTACATGAAAAGACAAAAGTCTGCAACTGTCTATATAGAATTATTACAAATAATGGCATGGCCATTTTTATCTCAAGTAATACTAGTGTAAAAATTCTAATTTTTCATTATACAATAGCTGTTTTACTTTAAAACCATAGCTGCTGCATTAAATGCAGTCTCTGAAAAGATGTTTTAAGAAATTTCTTTGTGAAATGCAGCATAAATCATGAAGATTAACTGCAAAAAGAGATTAAGCCAAGGTAACTCCTCTAAGTGTTCTACTAGACTTGTAGGTCCATTGGTTCTGAGCTGTTTGTACAGGCTTGTCATACATAATGTGGGAGGATAAATTGTCAGAGAAAGGTATCTCAGAGACCCTTCTGAATGGAGAACGAGTCCATATTAGCCAAAATGAAAAAAAAAAAAAAAAAACACCAAAGACAGGTAAGGTATGTGAAAATGGCTTTACTAATGCACCTGACCAGGCAATCATTATTACTTTCTTGGGATTCTCCCATAAACACTCTTTTTAGATTAGATTTTGGCCTCAAAAATCAGGAAGGGGGATACCTTGGAATACCCAACAGACAGAACAGATGAGAGCACTCAAGTGGACTGTGGGAGACCAGGGTGCTGGTAATACCTGTTCTGACTCATTCGGGGCAGACTGGGATCTGTCCCCCAAGCACCTTAAGTGAGTGACCCCAGCAGTCCAGTTTTTTGGTATGATAGGAGAGGAGTTGCATCTCACAGGCCTGAACTGCTCATTTCTTTGTATGAAATTAAGTGCTAACTCAGCTAAAGAACCAAGTCAACTCTCCAGTGATTCTTGCACCCTCTAGAGGTGTGAGGTCTGGTCATTGCCCCAGTAAATGTAAAATGAAGTTTACCTGAAGTTTATACAATCTAGCAATTCCATGTGGTGATCTTGAGAGAGTCCCTGTCTAGACTAGCTGTTAGCCTCCAGAGCAAGGTACAGAGAGATACCACTGCACACTCATGTCCTGTGTCCAAAATACGTACTCTGCATGTTTAAATGATCAGGAATGATTACCGATAAAGGCAGCAGAATGTGTAGTTTGAAAATCCTGATTTGGGCTCCACTTCATTGCTCTGAGCATCTCAGACAGTGGGACACATGCACTGCGGTGCTTTTGTTCCTGCTCAGTCAGAATAGCAATCACACCTCCTTGATTCTACAACTTTTAGAGCTGTAGTTGTGCCCGAACTGTGAGCACAGGGTGGCAAAAAGATGGCTATATTTGAAAATTGAAAGCCTTAGTGAGAACTGCAAGTTTGTTCATTTTTATGTAAAGATGCATTCATATTTTTTTTTCCTCTTGTGCTGCTCAGGCTGTAGAAGAGTTCCACAGCTATCCAACATGGGGAATGATTATCTGTATATCTCTGATGGTGCTGGCCATACTGCCTGTCCCAATAGTCTTCCTGGTGCGCCGCTGCAACCTGATCGATGACAGCTCTGGTAGTTTGGCAGCTGTATCCTACAAAAGAGGACGGATAATAAAGGAGCCTATTAATCTGGAGGGAGATAATACAAGTCTGATTCATGGGAAGAGCCCGAGTGAGGTACCGTCTCCAAATTTTGGCAAAAACATATATCGAAAACAGACTGGATCACCTACTCTGGACACTGCTCCAAATGGGCGCTATGGTATTGGATATCTAATGGCAGATATGCCTGATATGCCAGAGTCTGACTTGTAACTGAGGCAAAAAAAAATGCTGTTTGTTTCTGCTTTCTCACTGATCAGGGCTCTCCTAAGAGAAGTGGTCAGCTTCACTTCCTAGAGTGAGATCTCAGGTGCTCCACAGTGATGGTCTTTAAAATGTCGTGACAGTCCATACAGGCTGAGAAAATTCCCTTTGGATTAATTCTTGGTTTTTCATTTGCACTGAAGGATACGCATTCAAAATCAGTGACAGACAGCCTACATCTGCCAGCTTAGCCAAGAATTTGTTTTTTAATTACTTTGTAAAATTAAACCTTACTGTCTCTGAAGTCCAGGTGTCACTCACTCAATTGATGTAATATTTCTGCAGTAATATCACTGAAAATCCTTTTTTTTTTTTTTTCTGCTTTCAGGTTAATTCCCCAGTATTAAAAGTGTGCTCTGAAGTAGTTCACCAAACCCATGTTTCTGCAGACATTTGTATATACCTTATGTAGATATGCTGTACTTATTTTGTTAGCACTGATATTTACTTAGGCTATTAGCTGAGTAAAAAACTGCAAACTATTTTCTTATGTAATAGCTGTACAGAGCAATAGTACTAGAAAGTCAAGGAGTAGACTTATGGGAAGGCAAGGAAAGACTCCCTGTTCACTGGGGACTGTATAAGCTGTGGCTGTATATTTTGTGTAAAATAGTTGCTTTTTTTCAGTGTGAAAACAATGTAAGAGTGAGTCACTCCAAGAATCTTAAGGATTGTGCAGATTCTGCATTTTTTTCTATGCTGTGTGCCTAAAAAAGACCTTCTTGGTATTTATTGTGGTTACAAGATTACATATATATTATATTTATATAATATACTTGTAATGTAAATATGTATATTATTCTGTATGCAATCGTTTCAAAAGTTGAAGCAAGATGGCTTTTTAATTACTTTCCTTCTGTTTGCTTCTGTTTTATGCAGATAATTTTTTTTTCAGTCTGTAATTGTTAAGAACTGTATGGCATTACATTTTAACCTATGAATAAAGATACTGACAAAGTGTTTCTCTGTAATTTCCTAACACATTTATTACAGCATATTTGCTTTTCCATCACCTGGTTTGAAGGAATAGCATTTATCAGCTGAGTGGAGATCATTAAGAAATCCCATGTTCTTTTTAAACTATTGGATAAGGGCTTTTGCTATGAATACAGTTGCTGACAGAGCGCTGTAACCAGACGTGACACACGGAAATGATGACTATCACTTACCTTGAAGAGCTTTAAACTTCTGACTTCACTACCTTTAATGAGCAAAGGGCAGAGCCTAGTTTTATTGCCCCAGCATCAGCCTGATAATGAGATTACTTTGAGGAGAATGCAAGTTTCAGAATCAGTCAGCTGTGGATTTCTCACTATCCTATTCTCATCCTCCAGTTTAACTCTGGTTAAGAGGCCAAAAACTGAAGCAGGTGTCTTATAGAGGTGTGACTATTCCTTCTGTTGCCCAACTTTTGACATGGGAAGAAAAGTTGTGAGTATGGAGTTGATGCTGTCTGTGCTGCTGCTGGCCAACACAAAAGTGCCTTCTGCTTGTCCTCATGTGTAAAAAGCCGTGTTCCAACACATACTGTAGCTGTGTCATTCAAGATTAGTTTTGATGGTGAAAGCGTGGAAAAAATGCCAAATCCTTACAACAGGTGGAGTAATAGCAGTGGTTGAGAGGAGGCCTGCATCAGGTTTATCCAGCACTGTTATGCTTTTAAATTTAGTGGTTGAAGTAACCCACTAAAATTGGAAGCATTTAAGCAGACTACTCATTCATAAATGATCAGCTGTCAGTGGTAGAAGGTACAAAATGTGTCAGAACATTAGAAAGCACAGTGGAAGGACCGGCAAAATAGTCCTGCATTGCCAGAGCGGCAGCGAATTTCCACTGTCGTATCCCATCCCTAAAGTGAGTCTAGGCTCAGAGTACTCCTGGATCCGCTCTGTGCATGATTTGCAGAGGACTTTGCTCTAGTGACACGTACTTTTGGTCATGTAGGCCCTAGGTTTAAATGTGGAGAGGAGGCCAAATTACCACTGTTGCACAAATACTCATTAAAATGCCAGCAAGATCTTGCTGTCAAATAGCAATAATCATTTCTGTTTGAAGGCTCACAAAGGGGGATGATGCTACATAAACAGATCGTTGAAGATCATTCTGGGAAATATGTCTTGCTCCCGTCCTTTTGCCTGCCTCTGAGCATTTCTAACCACTATTTAAGTTTTCCACTCATTTAAACTACTGCTTTTCTATCGTTTGCCTTCTAATATCTCCCGGCAGCGATTCTCACCCCAGCTTTGTGAAAGCTTGCGGGCTTGAGAAGTCTCTGGGTGCATATCCTGTTTCCTGCCAGATGGCAGAGGTAGGGTTTGATCTCAACCATCATTGAACTCCCTGGAGTACTGAGGTTTGCTGCTGACTATAGAATTGATCTGGTTTACTCTGAGGGGTTAAAAATAAATGCAACATCGCTCCTACCTAATGAAGTAGGACTAGTTAAAGAAATAGCTAGATGTGGAGCTTTTAAAACATGTGCATGTACACCTCCTGCTTAAAAAAAAAATGCTTACCCATTTAGGAATTAAATTGTGACCTTATACATGGATATATATCTTTTTCATTATTTGTAAATGTTGACTTGGGGGACTAAAAAAAGATTTTTTTTTGCTGTGAGTTGCAATAAATCAAAGAACAAGTAAACAACAGCAACAACAAAGCAAAGGATCAAAATAAGCACCAGAAAAAGATTTTGAACAATCATGAAGTACTCTGAGGCATCACTCCAATGGCAGATTAGATTGCAATGTCTGTGTCTATAGTATTTGGAGAAACGCATGATGTGTTACAAATTTATTTTAGCACTGTTAAATATTCTTAATTCTGCTTGGGAGCAAGTTGCTTCTTGATGCCTTTATGAATAAAAAGAAGTAAAAGAAGAGTAGGAGACAGGAAAAGTAGAAGACAGGAAAGCAAGATTTCAAATATTTATCTGCTTAAAAGCCAGAATGTTTGTGTTTCATGTCAGGCATAACCACAGTTAATTTGTCTGTTGTTAAGGAAAAAGATCATTGCAAAAGGCAGTCATGCTTAAAATTAAAGAAAAGCCCATTTGTATCTAATACAATGAGAAGTAGCCTAAGAACTAAATCACCCATGTGGAAAGGGAAAATATACCAATATAATTTATTGCAGAAGGCTTAAGGTTTCTGAAACCGTTACGCTTTGTGGGGACTGATTTCCCCAAAGGAAGGTAACAAAATTGGTCGGCATCAGTACAATATATCATTTACTCACGTATTCCCCAATTTTGTTTCTCAGATTCAGTGAATTACAGGCCAGAGATCAAGAGGTCTCCTTGCCTAATGTTAGTCTTTCCTGATGTGCCAAAAATTTATCATGATATTTTACAGAATGCACAGAACAAAAAGTGCCTGGACAATCAGAAAACCACAGAACCGTTGAGGCTGGAAGGGACCTCTTAGAGATCATCTAGTCCAACCCCCCCTGCTCCAGCAGGGTCACCTAGAGCACGTGGCACAGGGTGGCATCCACGAGGGTTTGGAAGATCTCCAGAGAAGGAGACTCCACAGCCTCTCTGGGCAACCTGTTCCAGTGCTCTGTCACCCTCACAGCAAGGAAGTTCTTCCTCACATGGAGGTGGAACTTCCTGTGTTTCAATTTGTACCCATTACCCCTTGTCCTGTCACTGGCCACCACTGAGAAGAGTTTGGCCTCTTTCTCTTTACATTCTCCCCTCAGGTATTTATAAATGTTGATGTGTTTGCAAAAAGGATTTTCGATACTCTAAAAAATAGTACTGAACACCATGAAGGACTGAAATATTCACTATTCATCTGAAATATTCACTATTAATCTGAGAAGCAGCATGCTTAAGGAAAGCCCCCTAATTCTACAGCAACATCTTTGAAAAAAGAATTACAAAAATGTAGTTATGCCAGTTTGCCAGAATGCGGGAAATTTAATATAAACATTTAAATGCCTGGTTAGATTTTTGGGCTTCAGAAGAGAGGGATTTAAGATGCGATTTATTTCATTGCCACTAGATGGTGCTATTAGTTCATGTGTGTTGGTAAAAATGTCATGTTCCCGAGTCTTTATAAGGAAAAAATGCTGTATTTTTGTACTTACCAAAGTAGAGAGTTCTTCAAAATGACTGTAGTGTCTCTTCTCTTTCTCTCTCTTTCTAAGCTTAGTAGTCTGAATTTAGTACTAAGTTAATCTTCTGTACTTTCAAATGCTTCAATTAATATTTGACTTTTATTTTTCTATTGAAGAGAGAAAGACACAGATTTAATGATAACAAAAACAGTAACATTCTATCAATATCCCAGTGCCAAAATGCTAGGGGTTTCAGGGGCAAGCAACTTCTTGATGTTGAAGTCAGTAATTTCCTGACATGTCTCACTCAAACAATGTGTTACTGAGCACTTTCTAGTTGATAGATGATTTCTGAAATAACTTCAGTTAGCAAACTGGTAAGTGGAATAAGAAAATCTCAGCCTAGAAGAATACCAATAACAGCAATAATAATATTAAAGACTTCAGTGCTTCTCACTGCCATCAATGCTAAAAGGAACAACAAGGTGTCGGGAAGATGGGGGGCAATAAGGAGCCATGGGGAGCAGCAGCAACTCATGTGGTTCAACTTTGCCTCTGAAGAAAGGAAGTGCCATGACATCTAGCAGCATTTTAAAAGTAGTATAGGTGACTAAGACGTGACTCGGACGGCTGCTTAACCTTTTGGTAAAGGTGGTGTGGCACACTGTGTCGCAGAACTACTACATCTTTCATCTGTGTTGTGTTCTCATCACTCACTTAGTGCTGAGACAAAATCTTAGAGTAAGATTTCTGTCTCACATCAACATTCACGGATGTCTGTTGCTATTTTCTTCCCAAGAAATAAATATAGAAATAAATTTGCTTTAAAGAAGCAATAAATGCTTTTGCTTTAAAGAACTAAATTTGCTTTAAAGCAAGCCTAGCTCATTTCCAGATTTTCTAGAAAATGAAATACATGCAAAGGAAGAGTCAGGTTTGGAGCTGAAACAACAAGAACTAAGAAGTGTAAAACAACCCAGAGTGGTGAGAAGAGGAGGAACTGAAAACAGAGCTCATTAGATGCAGGAAGAGCAAGAGAAGAAGGAAAAAGATATTGCTTAAATAAGAATCACTCAATGAAAGACAAAGTGCAAAATGAGCAGGCGGCCAGAAAGATAAAGAGGTAGGGAA